TCCAATATGCAGATGATACCACTCTGATGGCAGAAAGTGAGGAGGAATTAAAGAACCTCGTAATGAGGGTGAAAGAGGAGAGCGCGAAAAATGATCTGAAGCTCAACATAAAAAAAAAAACCCTAAGATCATGGCCACTGGTCCCATCACCTCCTGGCAAATAGAAGGGGAAGATATAGAGGCAGAGACAGATTTTAATTTCCTGGACTCCATGATCACTGCAGATAGTGGCCCCAAAATTAAAAGACGCTTGCTTCTTGGGAGGAAAGTGATGACAAACCTAGGCAGCATCTTAAAAAGCAGAGACATCACCTTGCCGACAAAGGTCTGCGTAGTCCAAGCTATGGTTTTTCCAGTAGCGATGTATGGAAGTGAGAGCTGGACCATAATGAAGGCTGACCACTGAAGAATTGATGCTTTTGAATTGTGGTGCTGGAGGAGACTCTTGAGAGTCCCCTGGACTGCAAGCAGAACAAACCTATCCATTTTGAAGGAAATCCATTCAAAAGAAAATCAACCCTGATTGCTCACTGGAAAGACAGATCCTGAAGTTGAGGCTCCAATACTTTGGCTATCTCATGAGAAGAGAAGATTACCTGGAAAAGAGCCTGATGTTGGGAAAGTGTGAAGGCAAGAGAAGGGGACGACAGAGGACGAGATGGTTGAACAGTGTCATCAAAGCCACCAACATGAATTTGATCGAACTCCAGGAGGCAGTAGAAGACAAGAGGGCCTGGTGTGCTCTGGTCAATGGGGTCACGAAGAGTCGGACATGACTTTATGACTAAACAACAACAAAGTGTGTTTACTAAATTATCACCCCAATTCCCAGATGCAGATCTTAGGTTTTCTGTGTTATCTTGTATCCTCTCCAACAACAAAAGAGACATCTCAGTTTCAAATAAAGGCCAAATGGGGAAGTGATTATATGCATGGCCTGTGCCTCTTTGTTTGAAGAACTGGGGTATGATGTCCAATTCACAACTCCCTCAGCTGCAACTTTAAAACAACAGCCCTGATGCAACCTGACTTACATGTAAGAAAGAGGAGCTTGGTAAAATCCATCTTGCCAAGAACTTTTGGATGTCTTACTGGTACACACCTGATGAAGTAGATGGTTCTGATCCACAACAGCTCACAGATTGTACTGTATGATGATTTTTAAAAGTAGATGGTTCTGATCCACAACAGCTCACAGATTGTATAATGATTTTTAAAGAGGTCTATAAGGGTATCACCTATTTTTGCATGTTTATCTTTTTGGAAAAATGGAGAAAGAGAAACAGAAGCAAAACCCCAAGATGACTTTTCATCTAAGTAAACATAGATTGGATAGAGCTGAAATGTGTTATTGTCTCACAAAGTAGTTCCCAACTTCTGATCCACAACAGCTCACAGATTGTATAATGATTTTTAAAGAGGTCTATAAGGGTATCACCTATTTTTGCATGTTTATCTTTTTGGAAAAATGGAGAAAGAGAAACAGAAGCAAAACCCCAAGATGACTTTTCATCTAAGTAAACATAGATTGGATAGAGCTGAAATGTGTTATTGTCTCACAAAGTAGTTCCCAACTCACATCACAGAGACATGCTACGTATGTGAAATCCACTCTCGAAAACATGATGATTGCTTCCCTTGGCTTTCTGGACATTTCTATGACTTTTCAGCAGAAAGTGCTGAATTAAGCACTTCAGCAGAAGACCAAGATGATTACCATGTAACACTTATTTCCTCTTTATTTTAGCAGTAAATTATCTAACTCTCATTCCTCTTTAGTTGCATTTGTGATGAATTTTACTGAGATAATTAATGCAAAATATATGAATAACTGCCAAGAAAGGACTACAGTAATCATCAAAAGTACACATCAAATCTTTATAACTGAATTTTAACCTGCACTCTACAAATGTTTTGAGCAAGTCTGTTCCTGTCAGTTTGAGGTCATCTTAGGAAGGATTCCTTCTGTGTTGACATCACTCAGACATTACAAAAGCCCTCAGCGTTCGAATGTGGATTGCAAAAAAAAAAAAAATGCCAACAATCACTGCTGTTTTCATAACAGGAAGGGAAGAAGGGCAGCTGCCTTGTGGGGTCACCTTTGAGGCCAGCTGTGTGCAACATAGGATTTGCATTCATCAGGCAGACAAGCTTATTTTAAAAGGCAAAGGAGTTTCATCTACTGTGACTAATCCATCTGGTTCTTAGGGACATTAAGGCCTCTCTCACTCAGTGGCTGAAATCCTGTTGCACAATTATACAGAAATGCCTAACTTTTAGTAGCCAGTGGCTGAAATCCTGTTGCACAGTTATACAGAAATGCCTAACTTTTAGTAGTAAATTGCTCTAAGTTAAAAATTCTCCATATGCATAACCTGATGCATACTGTATTGAGTTGTGTGACTCAGTGGTCAATAGATAATGTCTATGGTGGTTTCTTAAATTATAGCAATTTGCTGCTAAAAGTTATGCCTTCTTTATCTATCTATCTATCTATCTATCTATCTATCTATCTATCTATCTATCTATCTATCTATCCGTCCATCCATCCATCCATCCATCCATCCATCCATCCATCCATCCATCCATCCATCCATC